CACTGGGAGTCTGACTGACAGCACTGTCACACCTGGAGCGGATCAGACTGTACCTTGCATGGACATGTCAGACCAGGGGCTCTGCATCGGCGTGTGATTGGCGAAGCCGTCCAGCAGGTCGTGGTTGGTCACTGTGCCGTCCGGCTGGATGGAGAGGCGGCACTCCTTCAGCTCGTCGCCGGAGCCGAACTCGGGCAGCTGGGCCCCCAGGGCGCCGTCCAGGTCGGAAGCGCAGCCGGGCAGCGCGGCTGAGAGGCCGGCCGGACTGGGCCCGGCGTCCCGCTCGCCGAAGAAGCGGCTGCAGTCCTCCCCCCCCCCGCCGCTGGGCTCCAGGGCCGGCTGCTCCGGGCCGGGCCCGGGGAAGGGCAGCTGGTCGATGAACCTCTGGGCGCTACTGACGCACTCCCGCAGCGCCTTGAGCTCGGCCTCCGACACCTCCAGCCGCACCCGCAGGCTCTCGTTCTCCCGGTCCCTGCTGGCCGCCTCCAGCTGCGCCTGGGCCAGCCTGTCGCCCACCACCCGCGCCACCTCGCCCAGCAGCGTGTCCACGGCGGCGGCCAGCGTGCTGTGGATGGTGGGGGCGAGGCGCTCCTTCAGGTAGGGCAGGGCGAGACCGCTGTCGCCGCCGGCTTTCGTGTCCTCGGCGCGGTCGCCCCTGAGCCCGGAGCCCAGGCTGGGCTTCCTCCTGCCGGCGCCGAAGGCCCCGGCGCCGCTCCCCCCCGGCGCCCCCAGCACCCAGCCCAGCCGCCTGGCGCTCATGGTACTCCGGGCGTCAGCTGGTGCCCAACCCCGCGGCCTGCTCGGGCTCGGAGAAAACAGCTCCGCCACCTTCCAGACGCCAAGCGCGACCCGGTCCGGACGTGTCGCCTCCGGAGGCTCAGCAGAATTCGGGCCGTCTTCCACGGAACAGAACTGCGGTCCGCCCCACTCGGACTATTTAATAAGTCAAGTTATTTGGTTTTTTTAACATAGCAACGCTTTCCCTTTTTAAAAAAAAAGTGAACAACAAAGTCCCGTTAGATGCTCTCTCGCAGTCTTCCGGACATAAACAAGTATTGGGAAAGATGGGACACTCTTACCCTCACTTCTAATTGGCAGCCTTGCGTCGCGTCCCTATGACGCCATGCGACGCGCAGCACTGTCGTCACCGCGGTGCCACGAAATGGCGCTTGCGCTGCGTGCCCCCGGAAACGGAAGCGGTTCAGTCAGCGGCCATGTTGAGCGGGGCTTCGTGCGTTTCTCACCCTCGGTTCTCCCAGCAGATCCGTCTCTCTGTTCGCTTGCTCTTTCCCTTTTACCTCTCACCCCCTGTGGGGAAAGGTGTGAAAATGTCCCCAGCTACTGCTACACACAACACTACACCTTCAGCCCTTTCAAATTCTTCACATCTTTATTTCCCCAAAAACATCTTGACGTGACACAATCCGAGACGGCGGAGGGGTTTAACACCCCGTACACGTACGAGGAGCTCCGCTGCCCCGCCCTCTCGCGTGCTGTGCTAGGGGAACGCCTGCCGAGAGTCCGTACTGTTTGACCTCAGATTCCGGCTGCCTGGCGGCTGCTTTGTTGAAAAACAGCAGGAAAAGTTCCCAGCCTAGAAGAATGAGCCTCCGAAAAGGCTCAACACGCACACCTGTGCCTGCACACACACGTCCAGTTCAGCCGGTACGGAGAGGCAGGAGTAACAACAGATCCGCATGAGGCCAGCGCGTATCCCAGGAGCCCCCTGGCGGCGCGCAGGGCCTGCAGCGGACGCTCACTGGGGCGGGGGGGCCGGGGGCAGGACGGGCGGCTGCGGCGGGCGGCCTGGTGCCGGAGCAGTTTCCACTCCTGCTGGAAGAGCCTCTCGCACCGGCAGCAGCGCCAGGCCGGAGCTGGACACCGAGCTGGACACGGGCCTGGGCACCGAGCTGGACACCGAGCTGGACATGGGCTTGGACACAGCGGTCAACATCGGACTGCACACTGTGGTTGGTACCGTACTGGACACCGCGGTCGGCACCGGGCTGGACATGGGCCTGGACACCAGACTGGACACCGCAGTCGGCACGGGATTCAAGACGGGCGTGGACACACCCGAGCCCGGACTGGACATGGCGGGCCTGGACGCCGAGCTGGGCTGCTCTCCCGGGACCCCACGGATCAGCGCGGGCAGCAGGAGCAGCTGGACTGGGGCGCGGGCGGTGCCCGTGGGTGGGAGCCGGACCAGGATGGCCTGCGCGGGCGAGAGGGGCGAGAGGAGGCGCGCGGGCCGGCTGTCCCTCCTGTCCTCCGCTGGGACAAGGGCGCTCTCCAGCGGGAGCCTCCAGCCCGGATTCTCCTCTTTAATATCCGGAAGCTGGGATCCGAGATCCGGCCGCTCAGCTGGACCAGACCAGCTCTCCCGCGTATCCCGGGCGGATTCGGGGCACGTCTGCAGCCGACACTCCGAGCGGGCGTGGGGAGGGCTGCTCCTCTCCGGCTTGAGGCTCGGGAGCGCGGGCCCGACGTCCGGTGCTTCCGTCTTCACGAGGACCGGGAGAATCCCGGCCGGCGGGCTGCTCCCAGGAAGCTCCGCCGTCTCCACAGGCTCCGGCTTCGGCAGTCCGGGTATTCCCAGCGGACACTCCTCTTCCTCCTCCTTCACGCACTCGGACGGCCAGCGCCGCAGCTCCAGGTCCCGCTGATCTCCGGGCCCCTCCTGCTTGACGCCGCTCTCCCGGGGGACGGACCGGGAGCCGGCCACGCTGCTCCGCGAGTCCAGGGCGGGCCGGACACCTGCGCCGGCACCCTCCCACGTCCGGCCCACGACTCCCTCGAACAGCCAGGACGGCTCCGCCGGCTCGGGTTCCTGCTGCAGGGGCTGCTGGGAGGGACACGAGAGAGTCAGGTCAACGAAGACGAAGAGGACGATGACGCTGACGAAGAGCCCGGCCGGGCCGGGTGACCCGGGTCCGGCTCAGCCGCTCGGTCGGAGAAGCTACTGCAGACGGGCTCTGTCTGGCTCGTGCACCGCCCCCTGCTGGCCACGCGCGGGGAGGGCAGTCTGTGCGCAGGTCGCCCTGGCGATGGCAGATCCCTGGATCCCTGCTGTCACTGCAGCAGCTGACGGGCAACAGGCCTAAAACTGCCCCGATTTCAGCTCAGCGTTTCATACGATCCTGACCCACTGCTGCTGGGAGGGCTGCTGGGTTTGGACGTTAAGGGGAGGAATCCCGAATTAAACGGATTAAGGATCTTCTACCAGAGGGTTCTTATGAAAATTGTTTTCAAGTGAAACTGTTTTCACCTCTGGTTTTCCTAGGGGCCTAAACTGGTTTCCATCTGTATGAACGGAGTGAGAACACAGGGCACCTCTGTCAGTCTACTGAAGCGCTCCCAGTGACATGGGACATGGCCCCAGTGCGACTGTTTACTGGGGGTGACAGAGAGGCCTGGAGAGTTACTCCGAACACGGTCCAGCACACTTCACAGCCATACCCACAAACCAAAGAACTGGCTACTCGCGACAGTAATATGTCTCTGACTTATTAATCACCCTGAGGGGGCTGGTCAGTGTTTCAGGTACTTAGGAACAGCAATACGGACATTTCAACATTCCCCAGAGAATACCAATTGCGTTTTTAATCTTTAAGAAGGCTAGTCATTGTATATTTTTGATCAGGAAGCTGAAAGGGTTCGGGTTGAGTCAAAACCTTTTAGAGGAGGCTTGCAGGACGCTGGTAGAAGGCATCACATTGCTTTCTACCGTTCTGGGAGGCTGAGTACTGAAGAGGAATTGGGAAGCTATTTTTACATTTCAGTGCTGTGATGAATCAGCAATGATGAGTGTGTTCCAAACCACAGTCTAACGTCTACAACCTCCAGTTTACACCCTGAGAGAGAAAGGTTCAACGTGTGTGTAGCTCCACAATGTCCCCATTGTCTGCAGCACAAAACCTCCTGTGACATCGCCCCCTCACGAGACGAGACAGCAGGACACTTTCACCACTTACACTGGGCATCTGGCTCGATGCGTCTGCATAGAATCTGAGCGTCTCTCTGGACACGGAAACTGCTGTTTTGTCTCTAGTCTTGTAAAACAAAAAACACAACATTAGAACGGGACGCAAGTTTGTGTCACCTAAGCCATCATCAAAAGATGATTTAATTCCCAATTATTTTCATGAAAGAAATGAGTAAATACTGTGGGTCTTTGTCAAGACTTACAGTTGTTAAGCTGTTTAAGAAGCCGGTGCTTAAATGTTATACATGAGAAACTGGCTGTACTCTTTCTGAGGGATGGCACAGAGCCAGTGACCTCTGCATGCCTGATTTACAAGCCTAAAATTGAAAAAAGAAAGTAAATATTCACTTGCTTAGTTTCCAAGTCATTAAACAAAACATCCTCTCTAAACATCAGACACAAGTGCCTTTCAAATCTACAGATCTCAATATTTCTTGTTAGATGTTTTCTACCCCAGTAATCGACCCTGAGTAAGGCTGAAGAGATGCCCAGTGATTTTACAGTCGGGTAGTTATCTCCATCGATGAGAAACGTAAAAGCAGGCAGCTCTGCCAGAGGAGTCATGAAGTGTAGTTCACCCCTGAAAGGTCATGTGACCGAGCACTCAATCCCATCACCCACCAGCCGAGCGGGTGCGCAGCCCAGCCCAAGCCCAGCCAGGGCCCGTGGGCTCTTCGTCTTCATACGGAATATTTACGGAGATTACTGGGTATCAGCCAGCTGGCTATCAGAGTGATTTCCCAACAACAGGCTGGAAGAGGACGCCAATGATGGACAGTGCACTGAATCTGGGTCAATTACATTTCTCCCACGCCTCTTCCTTTTCTGGACTCTTTTGCCTTTAGATTTCCTGGTCTGCAGGGAAGCAGCAGCCTGAAAAGGAAACAAAGAAACTCAGTGTTTCTGTTAAAGTGATGGTACCTACGGAGTCAATGTTTTTTGTGGTGTTCAACATAGCTATAACTAGAATAATAATCATAAAACCAAGCAATTAACGTAAAACATAAGATACAGGATAAATCAACTACAATACAGGCTGAATGCATTTATTTCAGACAACGTCTGACTTACTCTGCTGGCAGGTCTCCTCTTCCTCTTGCTCCCTCCTGTGGCCTCAGCTCCCCCTGCTCGAAGCGAGCTTGCCTGCAATGCGTGGAAGGAGCAGAGATGAATGAAAACCCAGCTGTGTTTTAGAAGAGCCGTGAGCGCGCGCGTACCTGTTGTTCTTCAAGCGCGGATATCGCCTTCCTCTTGCGCCCTCTTCTCGCTGGCTGCTTGCTATGAGGAAACACGGTCGGAACAGCGCCTGCTTTCAGCAGAAGTCTGGGTTCAGTGTCTGAAATTGAAATATATTATCATGGGCCATCAGGCTTTGTAGTCATATGAACTCCCAAGCGGAGAAAAGGTCAATGCAGACGTCCCATCCCACATCGACAGGGTTGGAGAACCAGTCATGCTCTGCTGCAGTGAAGCACACGGTCTAGACCAAGCTAGTTTTGCAACTATCCGCATCTGAAATATTTTCATGAACCCAACACAAGGGAGAAGACATGTCAGATACTTTGAGTATTGCAAAAAAAAAAAGGAGCACCCTGCCAACCAACTGAAACACACTCATATTTATCATTTTCAAGTTTTGCAAAAGTGCTCCATCATTTCCACAGGAGGTTATTTTGTGGGAAATCGCACCTGAAGGAAAAATTCTGGCAGGACTTGTATCTTAGGAGGACTTGCTGTGGCCCAAACGGCTGATTCGAATTGGTGCCAGTGAACTGAATTCAATACTGTATATCTACGGCCTTAAGGGACAGATTTGCTGGCACAGACTACTTACTTGTTAACTCAGCTTCCAGGTCGCGCCTGAACATTTCGGGGGTGAAATGTCTGCTGCACAACCTGTACTTATTGGAATGGACGTCGTGCCGGATCTCGTCCAGAAACCTGTCGAGGGGCCCGATGTCAGTGCCCATGTTTGTTACCCATCGCTTGGCCAGCTGCCGGTCCCTTGGAAAAGCGAACAGTTTGACTTTCTCTAGACCCGGTCCTAGGTTCTGTCTGCGACCACTGTGTTCTGAACAGCCAAAGGCTCGGCAGTGAGGCATCGTAAAAGACACCGCGAGCTGTTAAACACTTAAAGTCAGGACTTCCGCTGACGACAGGGCACGCTCCGCGGCGGTTTACATCGGCCATTGACTTTGTTCACAGGCTCGGGAAAGCGAACATGTCTGGGCAAGTGCGCCCCAGATCGATTATAATACAGTTCACCAAGAGGACGGGGTTTACAGGCACTAGCGAGCCGGAAGGGCCGTTTCACGTCACGGCTCTCGCGAACTCTCGTTCTCGTCCGCGGCGAGACTGGCGGGTCGAACAAGATGGCGGAGGTAGGACGCCTTCGTTCAAAAAGTTCACAGTTTTGAGCTGCGCGTCTCTAATGCTTATTTACATTCAGTCTTCCTTCGTCAGATGTAACTGTTTCATGTACCTATGATGATTTTATATGCCCTCTTGTGTTGTGTTAGTATTGTATGTACTCTTTATTGTTTTGTTGTTGTTGCTGCAATAAAAAAAAAGTTCACAATCTTGCCCTTGATTGGAAATTTAAATTTGTGCGGCGCCGTCCGTTAGTTTTGTTACCGAGGTGTGAAACTCGGGACTGAAGACTGCATTCCCGTTTCCAGCCGCTGCCTTTAGTAAGGCGGTTTAGACAACCCGTAGCCAATAAAAATATCAACACGAATATCCCTGTGCAGTCGGCATGCCGAGCACAGCTGCGTGACTGTGTCCTGTATGAAGCTATCGGATTGGCGTTAGGGTGGTGTAATGCGGAAATGCGTGTTTGTGTATCGTTGCACGTCAAGAACAATCGTTTTTTATATGTATTTTATTTCATGTTGAGTGTCGTTTTTTGTAGTTTTGTGTGGTAATGGCAAAGACGAATTTCGTTCCTTTTGGATGGATAATAAGGGGATATCTGACCTTAAACTGGAGGATCACCTGTGTGAAGCTCCGAGTCCCGGCACCGGGACGTCTGTCTGGGTTCAGAAAGAGCAGGTCAGCCCTGACCGCACACAGCAGCAGTCCAGCACACACGGGGCATGGGGCAGGGTGTGTTCAGGCGCGCAGAGATCCACTCCAGCTCCAGGGGGAACGTGGTTGAGAGGTGTAACAGGTGAATTCTCAGACTGGGCTGATGGAGTGAGACAGCCCTCTTCCACGTTAGTAAACGTTTCACGATTTCAGCTGGCAACATGTTAAGAGGATTAGCAGACACCGTCGAAGCAGCAAACAAAATTCAGAAGTGCTTAAACGAAGTTTACATCTGATTTAGTCTGAAGGGAGTGTGACACACTGGCAGGAAAGTCCACTTGATAAGGGTCTGTTTTGGTGCCCATGCAGACGTTTTGGACTGGTTCTAGAAGAGCACTGCACACTGGACCCGAGAAGTGAAAAATACTCTGTTTATTGTCAGTGATGAAGCATTAAAAATCACAGTTGTGACACATAAATACATTTTCATCATACAGGTTAAATTACGTCTTATTAACAAAAATATTTCTAAATGATTAAAAAATCTATTCTATCTTATAAATAAAAATATTAGAATCTTTTCATATTTTTCTCTTATTTATCTTTGCAATTAAAAAAAAAGATTAGAACATTTTTCAGGATATAACACTCATCAAAATGTAACAGGTTAGTTAGTTACACAAATGTAAAAATCTAAATTCCAGTCAAAACAGCTTGTTATGTGCTTTATAAAAGCACAGAAATATCCAGAATTCAATGCAAATCCAGTTTTATACATCTGCAGAACTCTGTTACCCCATGTGTCTGTAAAGAGCTGCAGGAAAGTACTGACCACAGTGGACAGCTCAGTGCAGTGGGACCCCCAGCAGTGACCCCACTGGACACCCCAGTGCAGTGTGACCCCC